CGGTGATGGTGGGTCGTGCTGGAACAATCATGCTTTTGCTGTTCACTGACGGCCCACGATGAGCTCACACGATAAGCGGCCAGGATAGTTTTAGCCGAGATATAAACGCGGATGATGATGAGGATGAGTGACGGCATCCTGGCCGCTGATCTCCCCTGTAAGGGGTACAATGCCCGCTGATGAGTTGGATCCTCCGGTGGTCTAGTGAACGTTGCGCGAACAATGGAATCTTCAGTCTTCGTGATCGCCACAGCCCGTCAACAAACACAGGATTCAGCTATCAATAATTGCCAGAAAAGCCGCATCTACAGCCCTTGCTTAATTTCTGGAAGGGTTAAAATATATTTAACAATAAATATCATCGCACCTGCATTTTATGGAAGCAATAAAATAATGTATTTAAGAAAAGGAAGAACGAGTTAACTACACGGTAACCTATAGTTATCAAGATTAAAGAGAAGTTTTTGCAAACTTCTCTGCGCACTATAGCCATAAAAGGCTCATATCTGCCGGTAGATCCTTGGCTCGCGCCTGGGCTTCATTGTTCAAAATTACTTGAAGGTATTTCCACGATATTTTTTTTTGTGAATGGGGTTCAAATGCGCTATGGTCACAAGACTATCATTAACTAGTTTGGTATAAAGTTTGGTAATTGATACCGACAAGTGATTTAAAGAGACACATGAACAAACACTAGGACATATTTATTAAAAAACGTTTAGGTCCTGAGACCTTGATCACGTCTCAGTCCTAAGACAGAAATGTTTTCTAATAAATATGTCCCAGTGTTTTCTTATCATTTTTTTAAACCACCCATAGTTACGCCTCACTTTGACAGACAAACTGCTGTTGTACTGAGACTATATCATCTAAGTCCAGTAATGACACTACTTCGATCTAGCATGGAGGAAAGGTTGTATTACTGTACTGTCTGGGGAGTTTCAAAGTGTGCTGTCGGGTCTAGGGTCGGCAAAAGTTGTATGGGTTTAGGTCTTACTAATGAGATTTTATTATAATGGTGTTGGTTTAGCAGGTATGCAAGGGTAGTGTGGGTTTAGATCTGCAAAGGTAATGTTACCTTAAATTTGCAAGGTGATATGGGTTTAGAATATAGAAGGTATTGCGATACTGACAAAATGGATAGAAGAATACAAATGGATACATTTGATGCCCTTGTGCACACACTTGGTTCACTTGTCCTTTCATTCAAAGAAGTTTAGGTCTTACTTGTGGGGATTTGTTTATTGATGAGGTTTGGCCTTTAAGGTCAGATTAAGGTCCAGCTGTCAATGGATAGTTTGTTTTACGTGGTAGCGAGGCATGGGGAGGCAGGCAGGACCACCCAGAGTTAGGGACTCGTCACTTGGAAATGTGCTGATGCTGGGGGCGTGGCAGACCTCGGGTGGTCGAGGCAGGGAGTGGAATAGAGGCAAGGAACCTCAAGGTGAATCAGTCAACTCCTTCGAGATGTGTGGGAAGCTCAGGAGGAGGGGAGAAGAGAAGAAGGGAGGAGGAGGATGTGCGAATCAAAAGGGTGTCAAGGAATCACCACTCAAGCGATCGATGTTGACTCTGAGAACATTATGGCATCCTGGGAAGTAAGGGAGGAGACAGTTGCCTCACTGTAGTTTTTATTTGGGCACGAGAAGACAAAGAAGACAAAATATAAAATATAGACGATGCTACAAATAAAGGAGAATGGATGATGTTTGGAAAAGGAGGCCATACTCTAGAAACAACGAAATACTAAAGGGACGAAGAACAGGAATTAATGAGGAAAGACAGAGAATAAAGGGGAGAAGAGAATCGTAAATCAAGGAGGACAGAGAGGTCAGAGTGAGGGGGGTTGAGGTTGCTTGGGAGGAGAGCGGCGCGAATGGACTGCTAGATCACCTGTGTAGCAACAACTCCAATATTTTTTACATGTCCAGCGATTTGTGGCCTTCATGAATATGCTAATTTTCTTCATTCACAAAACCAAGAAGTGTTCAAGCTAATCTTAAATATATACATTTTTGGCGGAGACAAAGTCGTCCCTAGAAGGAGCGGTCTGAGAGCAAGTTAGTATGACAGATAACCTGCAAGCAAATGTGGTAATACAAAGACACTTTGCAACACGAAATTTTACATACATCTCGTAACCTTGAATCAAAAACTTGGACATCCGTCGCCCACTCGACGCCCACAGGATATCACCACGTAAGGTTTACTGCACAATTTATACGTAAATACTTCCGATACACAAGTGATTCAAGGCTGTGCTATTACTCCTGGTGGGTGCACAATGGTCCACCCGTTTTTTTTTTTCCCCCTTTTATAGTTCGTGTGATCATCACCCGTGCAGCAAGGACTTGTTTGACTGACTTGATCAGTCATACTGTTGGTAATCGCGGTGCATAGTTTAACATAGGCACTACAGCACAACTGAACATATGATAAATTAGACACATGTGCAAAATTTGAGTATCTTTCCTATGTAGAAGTTTCGCCAGCCAGTGGCTTTATCAGTATAATACAGAAGACTGGAGAGGTAGAAGATGAGGTAATCAGTCCCTTATCGTAGTAGCAGGTGTTAAGTAACGTCTAAAGCACAGTCTTCTGTATTGTATTGATAACGTCAATGGCTGGCAAAATGTCTTAATAGTAAAGATACCCAGATGTTGCACATGTCTAATTTATCATCTCGTTGGTTCTGTATACTGTTGATATTCAACAGCTGAACAGAGTGATTTGCAGGAACTTGTTAAGCACCCTCTTGAAAACAAGGGTCTACTGGTAATTACAGACACTATAAATAAAGCTGGTATAAACCTTGGTAATAAATACCGACAAGTTGGTTTAGAAAGACACGTAAGCAAACACTATGACATATTTATTAGAAAACGTTTCGGTCCTGGGACCTTGATCACTTAGAAGTGATCAAGGTCCCAGGACCGAAACGTTTTCTAATAAATATGTTATAGTGTTTGCTTACGTGTCTTTCTAAACCAACTATAAATAAAGAAAAGTTTGTTGACCAGTCTTGGACACCTTATTCTTATTGAGGTATCTGTTAGTGTACTTACTGCGCCCTTACCTTTTAGTGTGCGCTGTGCAGTCTGCCCTTCCTCCTGCTTTTTGAGAGTTGTAGATATGGAACCTGTTTAGAAATTTCTTTGAGTAAATTATGATACATCTTTGCCGTCTGTACCACAGGGATTACAGTTTTAAGGAATGTTCAGTCTTCTAAAAAAAAATAGGTGCGTGAGGCTGAATGAAAGAAGATAAAACAGCTGGGGTAGATGCGATTAAAACAGAAATGTTAAAAGCAAGTTGGGATACACAGTTTTGAAGTGGTTGGTTTATTTCTTCGGTACATGCTTGAAAGTAGGCTAATTACCCAGGGATTGCAGTGAGCATGCAAAGTTCCTTTGTATGAGGGAAGAGATCATAAAAGAGAATGTTGAGTATACCGGCTCAAGTGTATGGTAGGCTAAGTATCTCAAGAATTATAGGTATGACAGAGAGGAGAACTGGAGAGGAATAGTGAGGTTTTAAGACGGGTAAGGGATGTGTAAACCTTATTTATACTGAAGGATGTAAGTGGATTTAGAAAAAGCAAATGATAAGTGTAGATAAGGAAGTAACGTGGCAGAAGTTGCAAATATGTATGGAATTGGTGGTAGGTTACTTATAGGATAACCAGACTCAGGTTAGGGTATGTAAGAGAAACAGAGGGAGATTATTTTCTTGTAAAAATAGGCCTTAGACTGGGATGTGTAATGTGATCATATTTGTTTAACATATTTACAGATGAGTTTGTAAAAGAAGTGAATGTTAGAGTTTTGGGGAGTGGTGTGGGATTGTGTGTTCAGATATTTGGGAGTGAACTTGTCGGAAGGTGGTTCTACGAAATATGAGGTGAACCATAGAATTAACGAATGGTAAAAAAAAGGGGGGTGGTTCATTGAGACATTTGTGGATACATGGAGGTAAAAAAACCGGAATGTACCAACACTGTTGTATGGGAGTGACGCATGAGTTTTGAATATTGGAGCGAGGAGGAGGCTGGAGGCAGTAAATATACCGTGTCTGAGGGCAATGTGAGTGTGAATATTATGCAGAGAATTCGGAGTTTGAAGATTAGGAAGAGGCGTGGAGTTACCAAAAGTATTATTCAGAGGGCTGAGGACGGGTTGTTGAGGTGGTCTGGACATTTAGAGAGAATGAAAAAAAATAGGATGACTAGGAGGGGTGGGGGTCATCCTAGGAAAGGTTGGAAGGAGGGGGTAAAGGAGGTGTTGAGTACTAGGGATTTGGACGTCCAGTAGGTTTGTGTGAACATGTTTGAGGAGTGAGCGGAGGCAAGTGGTTTTTTATGATTTGAAGGTTGCATTTTATGAACTGATTTTTGGAAACCGGTTAGCCGGACTCGAGTCCTGGAGGTGGAGGTTCGGTGCCTACACTCTAGAGAAGTGAGGATGCTACGGTTTGGAGGGTCATCTAAACTGTGATGTCAGCGTGCTTATGGCAAGACTGTGATTGAATAACTAAGATAAGTTTAGATATTTTTAGTATTTCAGCCTTGATTTTTTGTTTACGATGAGCAGCAGCGAGTGGTGTAACACATCCCTGGCTGACCAACGTGTCACACATTATGTAAGGGAACAACATCCTACAGTCTGGGACAGTTGATATTAAAGACCCTGGTCTCGATCACCATAGTAGGCAGGAACACCAAGGAAAACAACCTTTTCTTCCGCCTGTGATTGTATCTCTGAATCCCTACCATGTTTTCCGTCTTACACTGCTAGTGTCCCCAACATATTTCTCCCCATGAGGCTGGTGGGTCTCATGCATTTCCTCCAGTATAATGCTAGTGATGTCAATGCTTATAATGCTGGTGGCTCCAACACTTTTATATGTACACTGAATCATAATTGCATTCGTAATGTATCTGATTTTAATTGTTCTTTATAATTTTAATTATTGCTTACAAGGTTATTTTTGCATTGTTGCAGGCAGCTTCACGATAACAAGATTCATACCATAGAACGTGGCGCCTTCCAGGACCTCCAGCAGCTGGAACGACTGTAAGTATTGCTTCAAGTTTAGCAAAGTTACCAATACTTTTCTGCTCAGTCTCTGGACTCGTGTATTTCTGTAAACATTTGACTTCCGCCCATACTATGACCTTTGGGCTCACAACAGAAAGGGCTCGGATTCAGTCCCGGGCACGAATGGAAACATTGGACATATTAACACCTACTGTCCGTCTGGCAGTAATTAGGTATCTGGGTATTAATCGACTGGTGTGGCTGCATCCTCGGGAAGAGGCTTAAATGACCTCATTGGAAATAAAACAGTCGTTGATGCCATCTTGGGTTATTAATCATTTGGGTTAATAATCCAAACAAAAATCTACATATGCTGATCCTGTATATCAAAGAGTAAATAGGTAACCCTCCCCCTCTTCCCTAGAAAGGAGGAAGGACCTGAGGACCAAGACATAAATAGACAACGCCGACTTTTTTTGGGATTATCCTTGGTTATTAACCCTACGGGGCTCGTAACCCTCCGGGGCTCGTAACCCTCCGGGGGTTCATAACTACGTCTGTATTACTCAGCACTTCCCAGGAAGCTCATCACAGCTTTTCTGTTCGGCGCAACAAGGAACTTCGCAATCGGCTCCATTTTGGTCCAGAGAAAATCGTTTGAAAGAGTAACGTCTGAGAGGAAACAATAGGAGCCATACATAACCACCTTCCGCATGATGTATGCAGGTGATTTTCTGTGTGTGTGTATATATATATATATTTGTGTGTTTTTGTGTAATTAAAGTGTGCTTAAGAATACCGTCCGAGAGTAACTGTAAATAGAAGATAATTATAGATACAGAGGCCGGGTGGTTTAGATACACTATTTTTCTAACTTCGGATTGCGCCGTTAATCGATCGGGTCACAGCGCCTTGGTGTTCGTTTTTATCTCAACGTGCCGTCAACCGAGTATGGAGAGATTCTATCAAAATAGTTAAGCTGTTGGCTCAATGCAACCAGCCAAACATCCGAGCAGCTAGAAGCGATGGACTGATAGTGCAGACTGGTTTTTGCGGGTCTATATATATATATTTGTGTGAGGGGTCTTTCTGGATATGTCCAGTAGGTCATTAGACCATTCTTTTACGTCGCGTCCCACTGTGTCTAAGAAAGAAGGTCGGAGGAATCAGAGCCAACGCTCTTATCAACTCCCTACGCAGCATTGTTATCGTGGCAGCAGAGACGAGTCATCCCTGATGTAGCCACCATGATAACCATTTCTTGGTTCTGGATTTCGCAAGGCTGCGAGGCCACACTAAGAAGTTATAATTAAACTGAATTCTATCATTTTAGCCAGAAGATATGCTGTAACAGATTCTGAGCTGTTTCTAAGTTTTTTTTTTTTTTTTTGAGTGGCCACAGCATGCAGAACTACAAAGATCACTTTAGCTGGCATTATTGCTCTACGAAATATAAAAACAGGAAAACAGAGGAACATGGAGACAGTCTTAATTACCTCTTCCTAAACTTCTCCGGATGTAAATTAACTTCCTACAACTGTTAGAAAAAAAAATCCAACATCATTGACGAGGTTCTGCGGAAAAATAATTTCCCATATAAGAGAATGGATAAGACTGGAGACACTGATGCCCACGATGCCTTCTTCCTCCTCACTAGATGCCCGTGTCTCCGTAAGGTAAGCCTACTTTTTGGAATATTCTCCATCCTTCGAGAGCCCCAGTACGAAATCTTTGCCAAGATATACATCACAGCACCGTATCATCCTTTGCGGATGACACTAGGATCTGCATGAGGCTGTCATCTGCTGAGGACGCGGTTAACCTCCAAGAAGATATAAACAAAGTTTTCCAGTGGGCAACGGTAAACAATATGATGTTCAATGAAGACAAATTCCAACTACTCCGTTATGGAAAACTGGAGGAGATAATAGCTAGAAGAGTATACTACAGACTCTGGCCATACAATAGAGCGGAAAAATAATGTAAGGGACATGGGAGTAGGTAGTAATGTCTGAGGATCTCACTTTCAAGGATCACAACAGTGCCACGATCGCACGTGCAAAGAAAATGATAGGATTTATAATGAGAACGTTCAAAACGAAAGATACCAAGCCAATGTTGATCCTTTTCAAATCACTTGTTCTCTCTAGGCTGGAATACTGCTGTACATTAACATCTCCATTCAAAGCAGGTGAAATCGCAGATCTAGAGTGTACAGAGATCCTTTACTGCACGTATAAGTTCTGTCAAGCACCTTAACTACTAGGAACGCTTGGAAGCACTTGACTTGTACTCGTTGGAACGCAGGAGAGAGAGATATCATAATCTACACTTGGAAAATCCTGGAAGGAATGGTCCCAAATCTGCACACAGAAATCACTCCCTACGAAAGTAAAAGACTGGGCAGGCGATGCAAAATGCCCCCAGTTAAAAGTAGGGGCGCCATTGGTACACTAAGGGAAAACACCATAAGTGTCCGGGGCCCAAGACTGTTCAACAGCCTCCCATCAAGCATTAGGGGAATTGCCAATAAGCCCCTGGCTGCCTTCAAGAGAGAGCTGGACAGATACCTAAAGTCAGTGCCGGATCAGCCGGGCTGTGGCTCGTACGTTGGACTGCGTGCGGCCAGCAATAACAGCCTGGTTGATCAGGCCCTGATCCATCGGGAGGCCTGGTCGTGGACCGGGCCGCGGGGGCGTTGATCCCCGGAATAACCTCCAGGTAACCAGGAAGTCAAAATGTTACTGAAATGTAGAAGAATGGGCGCCTTCTACTCTATCTTGCCGTCATTCTCATCCTTCTAACCAGCGTCCAATAAACTAATGAAACAGATTTTGCTAGACTACACATGTAGTTCAGGGAATGGGAGCACGGACCAAGCTTCACTACAACACCAGTCAGTTTGATGTTCTCACAGAGACACCAACAAGATAAGCTTCAGTGAAGCAAATAATCTAGTGGAGAAAGTCACATCACAGATAAATGTTGTCATGACTCCAGGATGAAAGGTCGGAACAGGTGACCACATTCCCTCTCGGCTTTGAGAGACTTTCCTATAAACGAGTTGCGATCTCTTCCTGGCAAATATTTACAGCTATTTGCACTACAGATTCCGTGATAGATTGCAGCAAATGTTAAATCTGCGAGACAAATAAGTTTATACAGTGACTATATCAACATAGGTATTCTGTACGTTCTGTACATACTGAGGATAGCAAAAATGTGATATTCAATCGCACGTGTACAGTGACAAATCAGTTTCATTGACTCCGACGAAAAAGGCGAGTTAGGAGTTTTTTTTTATTTTTTAACTGCGACAATATTTACCAATCAGAATTTTATACACTGATTTATCTAAGCAGGAGACTTCTGTCAGAGCTACAGCTTATCTTGTTGCCACCTTCCTAAAATTATAACCATATTGAGTAAGGCATAAAAATTAATAGTGGGCGTCTACTTTGCAAACTGAAGTGTTTATCATGTTAATGACACTAAAGTTAACTTGCAACGTTTAGCTTGACTCTGATTATTACCTGTTCAGTATCATCACTGAAGGTACTAGACTCATTTAATGGCTTAACAACATGATCATTGGAGAAGTCAGGTATAGATACTAAAAAAATCAGAGAAAAGTGAATTCATTCACGATTTTTATAGATACCATCACAGACTGAATTGTACATGATATAGAAAGTACTCTGAAGGAAGATGTTTTATATAAATTGGGTTCATTTCTCTGTAGCATTACGAATAATATTAGGAGAGAAGTAAATAATGAAAGTAAATGTTATAGGAATGCTGGTAGAAGACTGAGCAGAACTTTAACTCCCTGTGATAGCATAAACGTAGATAAGTATGTTTACGGAGCAAGTTGCCATGTAAAAGCACTGATGTAATAAGACACCTGTGCAACATCTGGTTATCTTTATTGTAGACGTTTCGCCATCCAGTGGCTTTATCAATACAGATGGCGAAACGTCTAAAATAAAGATAACCAGATGCTGCACATGTGTCTTAACTTTCATCTTGTCGGTATTATATACCTGTCTTGCACAACTGATGTAGTAGTCTGGCTTAGGCTGGATTACAAGTACTTCTGGCAGTTTGGCAGACATGATGTTCATACTAAATGCAAAGTATATGGGTAGCCTCATGGTCTGTATATTGAAGCACTATGTGTTTGAATATAGAGATAAACTATATGATAACCTGTGTGATATATTAAAATAAAAACCAGACATATTTAGCAAATATCCTAAATTTACTTGCACAGGTAAAGCAAACTGTAGATAGAAATCGAAATGTACTCCCGTTAGCCCTTTTGGGGACCTTTTTGTATCCATATGCTCTTGCCTGCCATCCACGGGATGGATTTGCGGTGCATAATCAACTAGCTGCTTCGGCGGCAAAATCTAAATTCTAAATGTTACCAGCCAACCCACCGATCGAGTTGAAATAGGAAGGTCTCTCTCTTACGTTTATTGTAGCTGGAGGACTCGGGTAGCTGTTATCTGTGAGAAATTAATGTAGTATTGTTGGCCGTCTTCCTGTATCCAGCTCCTTTTCTTTGAATGTTTTAATATGTGAGTGGTAGTATGTAGGGCTGTCAGACTGATGCCTAAGTATCCCCCTAAATCCAGTAGTGAGCTAATAATAATATAATTGACCTAAGTAAGCATCTTCACTCGGGTCATGCAGAGTAATTATGTTCACTCGGGTCATGCCGAGTAATTATGTTCACTCGGGTCATGCCGAGTAATTATGTTCACTCGGGTCATGCCGAGTAATTATGTTCACTCGGGTCATGCCGAGTAATTATGTTCACTCGGGTCATGCCGAGTAATTATGTTCACTCGGGTCATGCCGAGTAATTATGTTCACTCGGGTCATGCCGAGTAATTATGTTCACTCGGGTCATGCCGAGTAATTATGTTCACTCGGGTCATGCCGAGTAATTATGTTCACTCGGGTCATGCCGAGTAATTATGTTCACTCGGGTCATGCAGAGTAATTATCTTGACTCGGGTCATAAGAAC